TGTATGCTATTGTATGTTATTTCATTCATTTTTATGTGTGTCCGTACGCACCTCTCATGAAGATACGAACTGTCCTTATTTTTTTTGTTAATTAATTATTAAATTTAGAATAAAGAAAGAAGGGAACGTAATCATGTCCAACATCAATTCAGCCTTTTTTTCAAGATAACAGTAATAATGTATTTAAAGTATTCAAGTCTTTTTTATTTCTTATAAAGCATTCTTTTGTCTGAACTAATTGAGACCGTTTTTTATATCAATATAAAGCATCGATAAAACTATGTCAAGTACTTTAGTTTTTGTACTTTTTTATTCTTTGAGTTCATTTAGCGTGTTATGTAATAGACTTTGTGAACTAGGTAATGTATGTCATTTTTTTATATTCACATTATGCATACTAGTAAAAAAGTTATAAAGAAAAAAAAAATGCATGAAATTTCTTATTTTGAAAAGGCAATTCTTCGTCGATTACAAACAAACAGATTACAGCAATTCATAATAAATTCTGGTTTTAGTTATTATAAAAATGACATCAGATTGTATGGTAAATAATGCTCGAAAACAAAAGCTTTTTCTACGTAATGATTTCTCAGTTTCTTTTTTTAATTATTCTTATTTTTTGACGATGATATAGAATAATAACAAGTTTATACTGTAGATAACTAGAGCACTAAATGAACTGTAATAAAATAACGATATCAACAAAAGAATATTGTTTTGTTTTTTTAATTAAAAAGTATTCAAGAAATTTGAGCAGCCTATGCATTTCATTTCATTATTAATGAATACTAAATAGTGTTCAATGAAAGGTTTTTTATAGCTAAAGTTGAAAGAAATACAATAAAATCAATTGCAGATAGATAAAAAGATGTTTGATCATATAAATCATTGCTTTAATCTATATCCTACAATAACGTGAATAATTTCTTTCATAAATTCATGTATTTCAATAGTTACGAGCTGTCTGAGGAAACTCACAATATATTGGCTGATTATTGAATTTTAAAAATTCACTGGCATGTTGTTGCTTTTTTTACATAATTAACAGCAGTTGAACAAAAAATTCAAGAAAATACAATTTATAAAATGTTCTATAAATAGAATACTCATGAAAAATGCTTCATTTGTGAAATGTTGACAAAAACTCTTTGATCATAATAAAATCTAATTCTCTTTTTTTCTTTCTTTTTTTTACATCCTACTTCTTGTCATACTTCACTCACATAGAGTCAAATATATTTTAACATAGGATGTCATTTTTGACATAAATTTATTTCTTAACAGATAATCACATAAATTAATTATGAAATAATTCAAATAATAAAGAATTTCTAAGATCTTATATATCTATTCAAAATAAAACAGTGCACGTCTATTTCACTTAAAGGCGTGATTTTTGTTATTAGAAGTAAAGACATCAGAATATAGCATGAAGCATATAAGCATATTAGTATAATCTTAAAGATATACCTGAAAATATCATATTTTATTAATGATCAAATTCTAATGATAGTCATGTGATTTGATACATACATGACCCTCATAGGCATGATTATGTCGATGAAACGAGAGAATGAAGAGAGTAAATGCCAATCAAAAGCGATCGATCTAAACATCAAGGCTTTTTTTTTCTTTATGAATGATTGAATATATCGGGGAGAGGAAGTAGCAGATTTATTTTTAAATTATATTTACCATCTAACGTAAAAGTTAAATTTTGAGCTTCAAACATTGAAAATAGAAAAAGTGCATAATTTGGTTTTTATTATTTTATTAGTCTGTAGTCATATAAAATGCTTTTATTCAAAGTTTCAGTTAACAAAAAAAAAGTTAATTATAAAATCAAAAGTTTTACCTTGCACAACTAATTATATATCCAATGAAAAATTTTATTATCGAATATTTTGAAAAAATGTATATTGTCCCTCAACATCTTTAAATAATAATCACTCTAGTAATATTATAGCGGATAGGCCATAAATAAGACTACGATAAAAAATTGAAAATTTCTCCACTTCGATTCCCTCGAATGGGCTGATTTATTTATTGGTAGCAGAAGCTTATTTTTAAAGTTTTTTTTTTAATGAATAACCCAAACAAATATTACTGTCAAGTTTTAGCTTTGACTTCACTAAAGAAACTTCATCTTTTGTCAAATAAGAAAAATACATATAAAATGTTTCTTAGGTAACTTTCAACTGTTATGTAAGAAAATAATATGAACAGGTCACAGGGAACATTACAAATGATAGTAAAAGATGTCCCAGAGGAAATTGCACTAAGCCTCAGCAGATTTTTTCTCATTTTTTAATCATTAAAAAAGTTTTCTCTTAGGCCTATAGATAGAGAATTTCAACATCTACAAAATCATTAATTTTGTTTCACAAGCAGCTTTCTCTTATCAGTGTAAAATTTAGAAGAAGAACATTTATATACGAGACAACCCATTCAGCGGATAATCTTTATCTGAGCTCATAATTTGCTCATAGTCTATATTAAAATTTTAAAAGGATGTGTGCCATGATGTCTTTCTTCTCAGATTATAACCATTTTACTGAACTTTCACTTTATTACAGAATGTCACGAGCAAAATGGCAACAATCAGTGTCGGTCCGAAATTCTTTTCAATAACAACTCTAATAGACCTTATGGTATTCTGAAAGTTTCCGTGCAAATGGATGTTTGTCTTCAGAGATAGAACGTTTGTAAAAAATGTTACTTTCATACAAGAGCTCCGAAAATGGTCTAGTTTCTAGGCTTATGATATCTTAAGAAGAAATCATTTGTTTCAGTTGAAACTTTCAAGATAGCACAAGGACCATGAGAGCTGTTGTTTGGGAGAACTTCAGACTAAAACTTTTTGTTGTGATTTTTCTCATGATATTCTGCAATACTCTGGAAGCTTAGTAAAATGGCAATAACTCGAGGCAAAAAGCTTGGTGATATGAATCCTTTCAGGACTTTTATCTAGAGTATGCGTCCTACCTATGAGCAAAATATGAGCTAAACTGGAGATCATCATTCGAATGGATTCTCTCGTTAGTCCTTCACCTGTAGCAGTCAAAACAACAAAGAAAAATTAATGACGATTTTCTTTTTATAAAAGAGCCCGTGAATTTTTAATTATCTCACAAAATTCTCTGTCATGTTCTGCATCTACAGATGCATGCTTCACAATTTTTTGAAAAAATGTTTGGGAGAAACAGTTTTACAGTAAAAAAACGCGAAAGCATCAGAAAAGTTTTTGCTGTTTTAGTAAGCCTATGCCATTGTTGTTTTCTAATTCGAAATATCGTCAATATTTTCTCGGCTCCATTTGATAGTTAAATTGTTTTGTCCAGAATTAAATTCTACATTCGATAGCATAATACTAAATCTTTCGTAAAGAAAGTCTGACTTTTGAAAACATGATTGTCCAAAGTGGACTCATAAGTACTGATAGTTGTTAGTTTCAAGTCTTTTCCTCGTAAATATCAACTTAAGAAATGTATATAAAGAAAATTGTCAGAATTAGTTGGTTTAAAAATCAATTATTACAAAATTTCGAATTTTCAAAAATAGAACACTGACTTTTGCAAGAAAGTTTGGTGTTTTGATGCCCAAAAGACTGTTATTCTGCGTTTTACTTAGTGGGCACAAATTTCAGCATTTAAACTCACTAGTTTGGAAACTTTGCTCTGTGTACATCAATATAGAATCATTCATAAATTTCATTTTGACTGGTTCTTATTATTCTTTTTGATGACAACTAAAAATTATCTAACAAACGTTTCATACGTTTTTTTGTTTACTTGGCAACAAGTGAAATTTCTTTAGTGAGACCATAAACAGAGCTTGATTTTAGTATTGATCTACATTTTTCGCATGAAAAAAAAGTTTAAAGTACTTCCTACTACTACTACTAGAAAAAAATCAGCGCATTCAAGCAAATTGAAGCGCAGATTGTAAGACGGAATTTCGCCAATAAGAATTTCGCCAACGGAATTTCGACAGTGTCCATTTTCCAGTGTAATTTCAAAATTTTTCGAAATTCCGCTTGCAATTCGACAATATTGTCGAATTTCCGTTATTGTCGAAATTCCATAGGAATTTCGACAATAATTATTATTAATGTATTTTTATTGTCGATTTTCCATCGAATTGNGAGATGTGCGTCGCGCCTAGGCGTGAGCAGGGGCGCGGGGAGACGCCGTGCGCTTTTGTCCATCTCTGCGCCCAACATCTAACTCAAATCTTAAAAGTGATTTGAATAGCCAAAGGCGTTCTCTATGAAATATCTTCCTTACGAAAGTTTCTGAAAACCTCAAATACGTATTTTTCATGTGACAAAAAAACTATGTAGAAATTAGTTTTTAAGAGTGCCATCTTGAAAAGCAAAAAATCCTGAATAAAATGAAGGATTGCCACATTTCCTACGATCGTCCTTTTACAGGTTAGTAGTATCATAAAAAATTTAAAAACTTTTTTTAGCAAAGCTATGATAAGCATTACTTTTTTGTGATGCTTATAATTTTTTTATGGAATATCATAGGAAACGCGGTAATCTCTCATTTTATTCAGAGTTTTATGACCTGAAAACTACCATGTTTGGTTTCCTAAAATCTTCGTTCTAATAGTTCATCTAGGAAATTTCAGCATGCAATGTATTTGATAGAAAATTTTATTGAATATTCAGATTACTGCTTGGATTTGAGTTCAATGGTTGATATCGTACAACAATAAATAAAAAAATACGTTGGTCTAATACTTTTGACTAGTATTGTGATATGATGTAAAGTTTGAAAGATGAGTTGTATAATTCATCTTTTTTCCATATTGATCATTTGAAAAATGAATACAAGAATTTTTCATAAGAAGATGATATCTTTTCGTGATAAAAAATATGTTAAATGAAGATCTAATATCTTCCTAAAACATAGTTTGAAACTAATAGACAAATTAAAGTTTTGTTTTGTTTATATGCCTAGATCATTCATGGATGGTTGATATTAACAACATTAATGTTACTCTTCTTTTTTCTCTATTCATATTTCAGGTTTGTATGATTATGATATGAATAGAAAATAATAAAATGATTGATTTATTTTTGCAGCAGTATATCAGCATCATTAAATCGACCGATTGATATGATAACAATATGTTTTATAACATGGAATGTAGGCGTTGCTGGGATGTTTTGTATTCATTGGAAAGGTCCTTTACGTGTTCAACAAGCTTATTTAATTTTTATGTCGGCTCTTTTGGCACTTGTTTTCTATAAATTTTTACCTGATTGGACAGGTTGGCTTATTCTTGGTGTTATATCAATATGGGGTAAATGGAAAAGAGAAATTTTATTTCTAAAAAAGATTTTTTTTTTTTAGATCTTTTTGCTGTTCTGTGTCCAAGAGGTCCATTACGCATTTTAGTTGAAACAGCACATGAACGTGGTGAACAAATATTTCCAGCATTAATTTATTCATGTAAATTTGTTTATTAGGTCTTTGTTGTTTAATATTTTTTTAAATTTTAGCTACAATGGTTTATATGGTTACAGCAGTTGATCCTCCAAGTGAACCTCAATTTGCACCGGATAATGTTAATACAAATACGGCTGGTAAACTATGAAATATTCTTCTTTTTTTTTCTAAAAAAAAATTATTTTAGTTAATGTTGATGAAATATTAACCGAAGAACAACGAAATGAACGTGCTGAAGTAAGAAATAATAATGCTCGACGACAACTTATTCCTCGATCTGATGTACCACAAACGGAAGGACGACGTGAACCAGCTCGATATGTTGTTGAACGATCAAATTCGCCTGTACTCGATGATGATGATGATGAAAGTAAATTTGAATTTTTTGTCAATCTTTCGTTTTAGTTTGTTTTGTTGTTGAAATTATTTAGAAGGCGTTAAACTTGGTTTAGGTGATTTTATATTCTATTCAATTTTATTAGCAAAAGCGTCAGCACTCGGCGATTGGAATGTAACAGTAGCATGTTATCTTTCATTATTAATTGTTAGTAAAAATATTTTGATTACATAATTTATCTTAATTTTTTTTATTTAGGGTCTATGTTTAACATTACTTTTATTGGCTATTATTCGTAAAGCATTACCAGCTTTACCTATATCGATTACATTTGCTCTTATATTATATTTTTCAACTGTTTATATAATTGGTCCATTTAGTGCTGAATTAAATCTTGGACAAGTGTTTATTTGATAAAAACTAAAGAACAATTTAATCTTTTCTTGTTCTTTTGTTTGGTTCCCTAATTGATGTTCAAACATCCTAGTCGTTATATTCCATATATATATGTATACATCATTTCTTTGTAATTTTTTGTTTTCATCGTAACAAACAAATATACATATAAGTGATTTTTTTTCTTGATTTATCTCTAAATGCAATGAATAAATATCGAATAATCAAATTAAGCTTTTCAATATTGTCTGTGATCTTTAAAGCAAACAACACTTAAGTAACAGAACATCTATTTTTTTTCTTTTTTGTCAAATAAAAAAAAGAAACTTAATGAAATAATAGAAAGCATTTTGACACTAGATTTAAAGTTTATTTCATGGTCATGGTTTTATTTTCATTTTTGTATTCGTAACATGAGACTTTACTTGTCCTTGTTGAAAAATTTCAATATACCTAATTGTTGATCGATCGCAAACACTTGATATACATGGAATGACAATGCAAAAAGACGAAGAAAAAAAAAATTGATCAACCAAATTCTCATTTTCTTTTTATTGAATAAGACATGGTGTAAGATCCTATTCATCTTTCTTTTTTTTTTCTTTGTTAACTAATAACAATATAAGCAGTATTGAACCTTGAGGGTCAGATTGATCATGGGATGGATATATGCGTCCATCCAAGCGATAAAAAAGAAAAAGAAAGTTAAAAAGGACAACTAGCGGTCATCTTTTTTTTTTGTCCGTTACATCATATCATTATTACAATGTGTTACTATCATCATAATTGATGTCTTTAGTTAAATGGTAAGCTTTCTTGTATTTATATTTAAGTAAATATTCTGATGAGAACTAGTTGAAGATGTACAGAGAAAAAAAAACGCAAAAAAAGACGTGCTTGTCTTTTTCGTTTGATGATGGTAATAATGGTCTTCAGTAAATGTACATAACATAACACGTATAGAACAGGTAAGTAGATGAATACTCTTGCGCGATACATTCAACAGTCTTTCTTCGTTTCGGTGATGGCTCGCAGAAAGGTCACTCACTATATAAGAAAGAAAAACGACGTAATTGTCCCTCACCTTATATATTTTGTTCATATTGATCAGTGGTAAATGTGCATCTTATGTGAGCTAGTGCAGTTATATATATATATCTTCAATGTACTCGTTTTAAATCTTCTAGCCTATGAGTGGATTATCAAACTAGTCATCATAGTGAGAGTTTCGCACCTATAGATATTTGAAGGTGAATGTAATATGTAAGTAGATAAAACTTTAGTAGTAATGAGAATAAATGTCATCTTTGATCATCAAGTTAGGATTTCTTTTGTTCATAATATCAAATACTACTCTCAATGAAGTTTGATGTATATATATTTAAATATATACGTATATACTCTAATTCTTTTTGATTACGTCAAACTTTATCTTGTCTTGATTTTATATATATAAATCTCGAAGGTGACCAAACACACATACACACACACAGATGGTTTTCATTTTCTTTTTTTTTTCTGTTATGTATATGCATATACCTTTTTCTTTTTTAAAATGGACATCAAAAGTGTGTTTGTGTGTGAATGAATATTTAAACGATTGAATGTTACTGTCAAAAGAAAGCATCTACGACGAATATGAAAATCAGTTCTTTTCTCCTCCTTCTTCCCATCTCTTCCCATCACAAACGATCGATCATCAACTTATATAGCTTCTTGCGTGTACTGTTCAAAAAAAAAAAAAGAAAAATTATGAAGACCGCAAGGCGATGGTAGTGGTCGTCATATAGCGCAATACAATTAAGCATCGAACAATCAATTGTACATGATCATCGATGGCGACGTTCAATGTGTCACCCTCGCCATCACAACTATACATTGAAAGGCAAAGAGAAACGATGGAGAATTGCGTGTATTGACTAGCAAACATATACATTGCGTCAATACGAACATTGGGAGTGTCGAAATTGAGAACACGAGAGAGAGAGAGAGAGAGAGAGAGAGGCAGAGAGCGAACGACTTAGGATGTGAGTTAGAAGAAAAAGGAGGCTTATTTACATGCAGATGTAGCTCACACTCTATATGAGTATGTCTTGAGGCTTTGTTAGATCATAAGAATTTACTATTCGATTTTACTTGAAATGGTAATTGAGACAGTTCATTTATTGATTGTGTCCTCAGACAGCATGTGTATATAATATATATATATATATGTGCGTGTGAGTAATTGTCTTTAGATGAAAAGACAAAAAAGATTGCTTTTGAAATTGATTCCTCATCGAATGAATCTTTCCTTTGTTCTTTCGCATTTATTATGCTAAACAACTTGAAGTTTATATTGATTAGATATGTAAAAATGGAAGAATGTATGCATATCTGACTTCAATAAAGAAAAGAAATTAACCTTGGTTGAGAGTAAATAAATTAGTTGATCTATTTATTAATTTGTTGTATTCCATGTAAATATGTATGTACTATAGTGAGAACGGATCGTGTCTCGACTTGCTTTTTTCTTTCTTTTTTGTGTGTTATTCTTCTTTAGTATTCAGAAGCCATAGAGTACTATTTCAATCATTTTAATGAATTTGTCATGTGTAAGTTGACATAGACAAACTCAGGGTCGTGCCGTTTCGTTTTTTCACCTTTTCTTTGCTCTTTTTTTTTCAAATAGTATTCATATCGATTGTCCTGAGAGAAGATGAATAAAACCTTGAATATTGTGAAGATCAGTAATAACTGATAATTGATCTTCTATTAATTGCATATATTCATTTTGCCTCTGTTCATTGAGTATACATTTGTATAGTAACATCATAGATAAGTATCCAGTAGCTACAATGTCATCTCTCTCTCTCTCACCGTCCTTTTTTTTTTCTTATTAATAGCGACTCACCATTCATGTATGCATATATATTACACAATTTTGAACAACAGGTTATTTTCTCTCTTTTTTTTTTTTATTGAAGAGCCATGGTGAATTTTCTTTTTTTATGTATGTAGTTTATCGCCTTTGCGAGCATCATTGCAATTGAACAATAGAAGAAAAGGTAGATAGGAAGAGAGAGACATCAGATAATTACACATAGATGTTTGTGGTTATATACGTCTATATATATATATATATATATCGATATAAAAATGGCAGACACACGATGCGGTGCACTCTGCACTCTATTATCAGTTCAATTTGATGTTATGACTGGCTGCCTGTCTATCATCTGATGACATTAGATCATCAAACTGTCTGCATATAACATTTTCGAATGAAGTGCCAGGTAAGTATTGGCATAGAGAAAATGAGAATGAATGAGCAATAGAGATGAAAAACAATAAAAATGGTATGAATAGACAAAGAGAATAAAAATAGAACGATGTCTGACACATCTAAAGAGGTATAACTGGACCTAGACATACAAACACATATACACATATATATGTATAAAGACAGAATCAGTATGAAACAACCCAGATCTCGACGCATTAGTTTAGTCGTTGTTTTTAATGTAAACACTTCGATTCACTTTTGAATCCTTTTAGTAACAATATATATATATATATATAGTTTGTATCGATCTAGGTCGAATTCCGAAGAATAATACTTGGATATAAGTTGTTGTTTTTTTCTTTAATGCTTTTACTTTCAATCTATCTTTTCATCGTTTTTTTCTATTTATCGAATGGACGATTTCTATCCAGTTCTTTTTATTATTATGTATGTAGTCCATAGATTTATTTATCTGTCTATCTATCTATTCTATTCGTTATTTTCTCTGTAAAACGAACTTAAGTACAAGAATATGATCTGTGTTTATCTTGATCGATATATATATATATATACATATAAATACTCGATGAATCATTGACCAGTCTCACTTTACATCTCTATCATCTATTCAAATAACACGACTATACATAATAGTCAGTATTGATTTTAATGAAGTGAAATGAATAAATTCTAAGTCAACAAACGATACAAATTATAGGTAGAAATTTCTTTTTAATATTATTTATTTACATTCTTTGTATTATCTTTAAAGATTTAGTTTTAAATTGAGAGTATTATTTGATTTTTATCTATATTTTAGACAATAAAACGTCATATTTTGTGTTGAGTGAGAGAGAGTGACGGCGAAGTCTAATGTTGACAACTCCGACGACAACAACTATTCAATATGGTTCACCAACTGATGATATTTTTAAAAATGGTAATTTTTTAACAAAATAAATAATCAATATATATATATTTTTTTCTTTTTGTATCTTTATCAAATAGAAATGACATCCAGCCAGTCTCCTTCTAATGGTTTCGTTGGATTACCGCCTCCTCCTCCTCCACCGCCTGCACCACCTGTATTTAACAACAATAATAACAATACAAATAGTTTATGTAAAATTTTACTACCACATCAAGAAGTTAATCTTGTTGTTAATCGAGCCAATATAACTGAAATTCAAGCACGTTCAGTTCCAACAATGCTCATGGCTGGCAATAATATTTGGACACGACGTGTTCTACCAAATCTTCGGATAAAACAAACTGTATTTGATCAACATTATGGTGAATCGAAATCGACAATGACAGATCATTATCGACGATCAAGTTTAACAACACCTTATATTGGAGGAGGAGGAGGAGGAGGGGGAGCAGGACTAGGCGGTATTAATGACGATGGTCCACTTTCATTTATTTTACTTGATGCTACATCTAAAATGCTTTATGATGTACCAATGCGTCATTTACTTCAACTGGTCAAAAAAGATCATGATGATGATGCTAGTATTGATCATGTTATTCGAGCTATTGATGAAACACATATGAAATCTGAATGGTAAGAAATGAGACTTGTTTTAAAAGAGTACTCAAATGATTTTCATGTTTCGCTAAGAAAAAACAAATACTTCAGCGGATGTTTAATTTTCTTTTTGGAGCAATACTTGATAATCATGAAAAAAAAAAATTTGCTTTTTGAAGTGTTTCTTTGTGTACAAGAAGTGAAGTTTTATTAGATTTGTTCAAT